CCGGAGAGCCGGCTCCGCCCCCTCCGGGAGACGCGGCTCCTCCTCCAGCCGACGAAGAGGCTCCGCAGGCAAAGTCCCCGGGAGAGGCCCCCTCCGGAGAAGATGCGGCCTCTTTTGCTAGAAAAATGCCTTCCTCTATTGGAAGCGATATTCTGAATCTCATTCCTTCTAGTGAAAGGATACTTTTTCCCGAAGACGATGAGGAGGAAAAACAGAGAGTTCGCGCCAGGCCCGGGCCCCGAACGGTGCAGTCAATGCTTTCTGAAGCACTTTCACAGTCTTCCCATAGGTCGTCCAAATACTTCCGAAGTATGAGTGGCATTCCCAACCTACAGGAGACATTGAAAGAGAGACAGGTTTTGCTTACGATTCATAAATGTCACTTTTATTTCAAATACAAGAGCATTGTTAGCTTTTCTTTATAACTACAGTGTTTACATGTGGTGTTTATTCTTTAGGCAAGGTTTAGAGATGCAAGGGAAAGCCGAAGACTGCAAATTGACCCTTCATACAAATACTTATTTGAAATTATATCAGAAGTTCTTGGCCTGGACGTAGTAGCCGTCGAAGAATTACTTTTGGATTGCCCAACTGTAAGTTTGTCTTGTCATTCTTTTTCAAGTTGCTCTTTGGAGAAGTGATTGATTTAAGAAACTGGAGTCATGAACCACAATACATTTATTTTATTTATTTAATATATTTTTATTGACTTTAGAGAGGAAGGGAGAGGGATAGAGAGTTAGAAACATCAATGATGAGAGAGAATCATTGATCAGCTGCCTCCTGCACGCCCCCTACTGGGGATCGAGCCTGCAACCCAGGCATGTGCCCTTGGCCAGAATCGAACCTGGGACCCTTCAGTCCGCAGGCTGACGCTCTATATCCACTGAGTCAAATCAGCTAGGGCTAACCACAACACATTTAGAAAGAGAAGGTTGGAAGTTCACTGACTAGAGAAGCTTTATTTATTATTTTTTAAAAAAATATATTTTATTGATTTTTTACAGAGAGGAAGGGAGAGGAATAGAGAGTTAGAAACATCGATGAGAGAGAAACATCCATCAGCTGCCTCCTGCACACCCCCTACTGAGGATGTGCCCGCAACCAAGGTACATGCCCTTGACTGGAATCGAACCTGGGACCCTTGAGTCCGCAGGCCAACACTCTATCCACTGAGCCAAACCGGTTAGGTGAGAAGCTTTATTTTATAGAAATATAGCCAGTTGGATGATATTTCTAGTTAGGTCTACTGTTGAGAAGGAAGAAAAGAGAAGAGTTAGCAACTAGAATTTGGCTAAAATTCTAATTCAAAATGACTTTAGAAGTTAGAGAAATAGGCAAGCATAGGTAGAGTAATGTTTTAAAAGAACAGGTTGTAGAAACTACATATGTAGATCATTTGGGAAATCTTAGCTAGGGAACAGTGACCAGTGCCTGAGCCTGGTAGAAAACAACGAGGCGATTGCCAGACATTTCAGCGTGCCAGGGCCAGCCCGGGATTATGCCTGCTTTTCTGACATAATTATTAACAGTTCCTCCTTTCACGCCTAAACGGGTCCCATTTTTGGATGATGAATTTATATGGCCACCTAACTATACTGATAGATGATAAGCTGCGACTTTCCTAGCAGCTCTTAGAAGCAGTATCATGTGTCCTGTCTGGTAGCTCTGGTTCTAAACTGATTCTCAACAAAATTACTACTGATCATGAACTACTACTAATAAAAGGCCGCTTGAGCATTTTATCGACTATTGGAGTGGAGTGGGCTGGAGCCCCAGCAAGACTGTGAGCAGATACATGCTGGTGGTGAGCTGATGGTCCCACTGAATGCACTGGTGAGAGAGTTGGGTGGGTGATGGTAATGTGCTGAGGCTGTCATCATCAGGGTCTATGCACCCTGCTTTCACAGGGACCAGCGAATGTGGGCAAAACTCGTTAGCTTGCTCTAGGAGCCACGATTCTGTGGAATGGCTCCTAAAAAAAAAGCCTCTCTCTTGCTTGATGCAATGTCGTGTGTTGTCAAGTTCTGGAAAGTTGTCTGCCCTTATAAAACTTTATCACTGGCAGTTCCCGGACAGTGTGAATGGGATTACGTATTTTCCAGCTCCCTTAGTGTGTTACATAAGATGGGGAACGTGATTGATGCAGAGAGATCAATACCTTTGAGCTATTTTAATGGCGAAAGTTAGGAAGATGCATGGAGACGTGTACACAAAACAAGAGGTGCCATAGCAAACACCTGGAAGTAGGGTCTGGCTTCTGAGGCCACCAGAGTTCCCTGCGGGAGAGTACAGGTCTAGTCAAGGTTGGCTTCATGGGCATGCAAGCTGGATAGTTAAACAGGCCCCTGTGCCGAAGGGCCCTGCAGTGGGTTTAGTGACCTTCTGGCACATCTTGAAATTCTTAATTTTTAAAATAAGCAGTCCTGCACTTACATTTCAACACTGGGCCCCACAGATTCTGCAGGCTGTTTTGGCTGTGGATGACTCCACTCCTATGGCAAGAGGTTTCTCTGTGTTATTCTCAAGTTGTTTCCGGTGTCTTGTTTTGCTTTGTTTTTTGCATGTTTTAATACTCTCCTGGCCTCCCTTCCCTACTGGTTATTTAGGTTCCTTTGGCAATTCTCGTTATGTGTCTGCACATTCTTAAACTCAAGAAAGTGGTGCAACCTCCCCCCCCCCGACAAGGACCCCCCCAAAAACAAACAAAAAAACACAACAAAACCCCTATACACATTCCTGAGCAGATGACTATGAGATGAAGAAAAAGCCAGTTTCTAAAAACATGTTTCTCAGGAGGCCCAGGCTTCAGGCCTGTCCCAAGGACCATTCCTGCACTTGGTAAAGGAGGAAACCAGATGGGGAATCACCTTGTTTCACCTGAAAATGGTTAGGCCACACATTTTGGCTGACCCCACAGTGGAATCCCAGCAGTTCTGCAAAGGGCTTAGGCATGGACACTGGGCTTGGCCAGTGCTGTCAGGGGAGGACAGCTGTCAGGACTAAGGGAGATGCGTGCCCGCAGAGCTGGCCATCTCACCTTTCAATATTTGTTCCCTGGCTTTCTGGACTGGCGTTCTGTGCCTGGAGGAAGTCTTCCTCACGGGCTCGCATGCTAGCCAGGAAGGGGGAGTGCCACGTGTCTGCAGACCCTTCCTCTTGTCATTCCTGGAGTGTGTCTGTGTGGTTATGCTCGTCCGTGAAGGCCATCACAGACCAGGCCAGACACTGCTTAGGCTGCGAGGAATGGGAAATCTAGTTCTTGAGGGAAGAATCAAGACAGGAAAGGTGATGCCTTAAGAAATGTCTGTGAATTGCAAAGCCACAGTGGAGGGAAGAAAGGATAGCCAGGAGGAAAAGCAATGTCAAAATCTGGGAGAGATGAGAGCACTTATTTCATCCAAAGGACAAGGTAAGGGCATGCAGTACATTTGCATCAAACTTGGTGGACAGGTGAGTAAGAAGATGGAACGAGGAACAAGGGGTGTAATGGGTTGGTGTGGTGGTTGAGAAAACTGTATACGGAAACGTTTTCCGTGTATGTGAAGCCTGGTGCGAAAGCAGCTTATTAAGAGCACCCCAAAGCTGTGGACAGCAGAGGGTATAGTTATATTGTTTGCCTTCAGACCTATTCTCCACTTTGCGTCACCCTTCTCTGTGGCCTGGAAGGATGACCTCTCTGGAATCTATCACCTGGGCTCCCTTGCTCTGTGGCTTCCAAGTGACTCAGCCACTGGGAGACACCAGCAGGAGACTGGAGGGCAGAAGGGGGAGAAGTCTGACCCTCCCCACTTGGCCTTGTGTCTGGCCGTGGTCGTATCCTCCTGTAACTACAGCTCCTCCTGAGCGGTCCCTCTCCCACAGCTCCAGTTCTCAACCTGCTTTCAGCTACACCATTCTCCCCGTGCCTACCCTGTCAGGCCTTGGGTGCTACTGGGTTTCCTTTGTTGCCTGCCCTGTTACATTGGTGCTAGTGCCACAGTTTCCCTTGACTCTGCTCTGGCCTCTAGAAGTAGCCTCTTTATTATGAAGTTTCTTTGAAAACTCTTTTGCAAGGTTGTGGTGTAGCACAGATGAACTATTTGTAAAACATTACATATTATAAGTGAATTTTACATCTGCAGTCATGATCTTGGCCCATGACCACGTTCACTCTGTTGGTCTCAGGAGGACAATGTGTCTAAAAAAGAACTGAGTGCATTTGGTATTGTGATCTCTTTTTATCGCAGTCAAGTGCTCTACTTCTGAGAATTTGTCTGCTTTCAAAGCTGAAGGGACATAAAAGTCAGACGCAGCAAGAAAGTATTTATGGAACTGGGGAAGAATGGCTGTGCTGACAGCTTTTGTATCTTTCAGGTTACAACCTGAAATAATTGTGCAAGAGAGTCAAGTTTATGTGTGAGGTGGAAGAGTAGAAAATTAAGGGCTAGAATCTTGCACATAACTGTGGCTCCTTTTCACCTCCTAAGTGGTGGTTCCCAAACCCGGTCCCAGGACCCAGGGCATGGGCACCACCTGGAACCTTCAGGCCCAGCATTCTGTATTTGTAAAAAGCTCTCTATGTACTGCTCTGATGCGCACTTCCGTTTGAGAACCATTGTCCTAGCGCAATGGTTCTCAACCTTGGCTGCACATTAGAATCACCTGGGAATCTTTTTAAAATCCTGATTTCTGGGCCTCATCCTCCAGAAATTCTGTTTCTTTGTTACTAATGTTGTGGCCCCACCCATAACAAAGAAACAAATTCACTGAGGCACAGTTTAGAAATCCTGTTAATCACACTCTGCCCTCCGGGAGAGGCTTTGCCAGACCTGGGATACATCCCACATGTGGCCAATAAGTGAAGAGAAACCCACTGCCCAAGAGAGACACTTAATGTATGAAATCAGTGAAGTGGGTTCAGTAACTGTATTTCCCAAATGATGTATGAGAGGTTTTGTTTACACGATCTGTTTAATTTTCCAACTATTAAAATATTACACTGACTCATAATTAAATAAGAACTTCATGCTCATAAATATAGAAGACTGTCATTATAATAATTTGTTTTATATTAGTTTGGCTACAATATGGGTCAAATTACAATTGCTAAAAACATCATTACTCAAATAATTGGCCAAATGAAACAATTAACCTGGCAAGTTTTCTGTTCCCCAAACCCACTTTTAAGAATTTTCCTTTCCCTAGCCAGTTTGGCTAAGTGATTAGAGCATCAGCCCATGGACTGAAGGGTCTTGGGTTTGATTCTAGTCAAGAGCCCATACCTCAGTTGCAGGCTCAATCCCCCATGTGGGAGGCAACCAATCAGATGTGTCTCTCTCACATCAATGTTTCTCTCTCTGTCTCTCCCCCTTCCCTTCCACCCTCACTCTCTCTCTCTCTCTCTCTCTCTCTAAACAAACCAACAAAAAACAAAACCAAAACAAAACAAAACAAAAAATCAACGAAAAAGATATCCTCTGGTGAGGTTCAGAAGTAGAATTCACCCTATATTCTACAGTAATTTTGGGGCTAAATTAGTTCAGATTCTAATCCTGCCTCTGATGTGCCTGTCACTGTGTATCATGAATAAACTGTTGGAGCCTCTTTTTAATCTACAAAATGATGAAGATTAAAGTATGTAAAATGCCTAACACAGGGCTTGGTTCATTTTATTGTAGTACCCTAGTCATTTTATTGATTTTTTTTCTTTTATTTAACAGCTGGAACCACTTACTTATTTTTTTATGAAAGATGGTTGTAAGACATTGAAATTCTTGTACCAGGAAGGAGACGCACCCGGCCTGGGTAAGGATGTTTTCCCGGGTACGGTGCTGGCTAGTCGTTCATAAATGTTAAAGTGCAGCATGCCTTTTCTCTTGTACATGGGAAATCTTATATTCATAAAGAAAAGTTATCAGAAGCTTATATCTTAAAAACAATACATTTTAAATCCAAATATATACGTTTCAGGTATTAATGATGATTTTTAAAAAAATGTATTTACTTTTAACAACTGTCAAAATGTTCTCTGTATCTATGAGTCTGTTTCTGTTCTGCTTGTTTGTTTGTTTATTTAATCCCCACTAGAAGATACATTTATTGATTTTTAGAAAGGAAGGGAGGGAAAGAGGGAAAGAGAACCATCGATGTGAGAGAGAAACATCTATTGGTTGCCTACCATATGTACCCAAACTAGAGATTGAACCTACTGATTGAATCCCAGATGTGTGCCCTGACTGGGAGTTGAACCAATAACCTTTCGGTGCAATGCTCAACCAACTGAGTCACTCCATCTGGGCTACTATAATGACTTAAGGAGAAAACATCCTTATAGAAATCACTGACCTCTCCTGGGGAATACAGATTTTCTCTAGAATTTAATTGGATTTTCCCTGAAACAGGCGGAACCATTTTGTACACATGTTCTCAGATGACTAGAAATAGTCACAAAACCACCCAAGAGCTCAGCAGCCGCTCCCTGTGGTTCTGGGCACATCTGTCTGCTGCAGCGGCCAGCTGGAATATCTGGCTTTCCCTACTGTTCTCATTATTCTTAAAATAATGAACAGTTTACCAGGTAGTTAAACCTTTGTCTTAATAACGAGGTGCATAGGCCATCCTTTTGGCCTTAGACTCCTCACCTTCCAGACCCTGTGGATTTCATCTTTAGTGTGCCCCTCCTATTGGTCCCTTTTTGCTTTAAACTCTGCTGCCTTGTGGCTGGCCCGTACTTCATGCCTGCCCTAGTATTCCAGATTGAAAACCAGTATCTCTGTTACCAGACTCCTCCTCTGATGTTCACACTACTTACTCCTGCCAAGTCATTCTTTCCTTGTGGTGCAAGTTATGGGATTGGGTCCAACCCCTCATTTATCCGCTAAGACCCACGGTAACCTGTTTGGTCTGATTTCCTGTTCTTCCAGACATGAGTCTTCTGCTCTCTGTAAGCCGGTCCCTTCATTGTTTTCTGTTCATACCAGAGTCATTTCTGGGA